AGATTTAGAGGAACGCACCTAGTCTGGAGTCCATTGTATCCATCATCATTTCCAGAGTAGGACAGTGAACGTGTTACATTCCCAGACGTTTCGCTGGCATCGTCAGTGAGTCTTGCCATTCGTAGCACCATATTACAACTCGTCAAAGAGACTTGTCTGCGACCACACAAAATGCCACACCATCTTGGTCTTCATACATTCGGAAAAAGATTATGGTTTATATTTTGGTCAGTCTTATTTCATTATATACAAATGGCTTGACCTATTTCTAACTGTCGTGTTTTTAAGGCGACCTATATGAACGCACACTGTCCTAAGTTATCTGCCATAATATTCGTCATAATATAAGATGTATTCACCCAATTTGATTTAAGGTGATGTAGTGGTAGTTGAATTCTACCACTACCTTTCACGTAGCCTTGCCTTATCATTCAGTGTGGACTGCAGTTTCGACCTCGCCTAAGTTTTATCAACACCCCGTAGAAGTCCTCACGTTAACCACTCCGCCGCATTACAACGAATGACCTTGGATCACAGGGCAGAGGCTACTTTTAAGAAAGACCAGATCTTTTCCAATATCACATTCTTTTGTTAGAATGTCGATCAAGCAAAGTTATATTTGCTATAAAAATCGACTACATTACTTTTCATTTATAAGCAGCTATATGAGGTGAATATATTTCATATAACTGATTTACTGGTAGCATCGAAACGGCTTATAAACGAAAAATATGATAAATTTTTCCGTCTGAATCTGGACTACAAGAGAGAACAAATTCGTCTTAAACTTGTAATTTAGCTAAATTGTTCCATGGGTTCTTTCTTTCCACATTTGTTATGCTAAATTTATGGTTTACCGTTAATTTATGCTCAACGCAAAAGGTTGGTCGGACCTGGTATTTAAGCTTATCCTGCCGACACTCATATCGGCTACGTTTATCTTATTAATACTTTTCTTAATTTTTTAAATTATCTTTTCAAAATTGGCCAATCATAAATCGACCACCTACGACACCTGATTCATTTTTCTTTTTATGCTTTCAGTCTCCTGATTGTAGAAAAGAGCTGCAAGTCTCTGAGTTCCAGGCGATCGTACTGCTACAATTCAATAATATTTCTTCTGAAGAGGGCATCTCCTACAAACATCTGCTCGATGCTACTGGAATTGAAGAAGCTGAGCTTAAGCGAACTCTTCTATCCTTGTCAGCTGGCAAGGGCCAGCGAGTACTCATCAAAAAGCCATCGGTAATTTTAGAAAACATTATTATTAGTTATATCTTTGAAAGCATTACGAAATTTATAAAATCGTATTTGTTAATTTACCTTACTATTGCTTTGATAAATGCTCACCATTTTATTGGTCAGAAGCCATCTCGGAAAAACTCTACTCATCGGCTTTCACTGTATAGAGGTGGTTTGACCTGGTATCTACAATTTTTTTGTGTTGTCAGGAGCTAGCTGTACTTACCGTGTCCGAAGTCCTCGGCTATAATAATTATGATAATTCCCCGCGTCGGACCATGGACCTGGACAATAGCAGAAAATTTCGGAAAAGCTGCATTTATCTAGGTCTACTTCAAAAAACGATCAAGTTGCGAAAATGATGTTAAACTGCTTCTATGCAATGAAAACAGACTGGACCAAAACAGAGGCTACAACACATTGATCTTAGTTTTACGAATGAACCGTTTTTATTATTCAATTTCCGTTAACTTCATCCCTGCATTAATTGGGGTTGCATGATTAATATTATGTACCGTAGATAAGAGAAGTACTTGAAAGCTACAATCTTGAAATTCTTTATATCTGCCATATTCATGCCTCTTTCTCCGCTACATTGGTCTAGCCCATTAAGTGAGTTCGGATCTGGCCCATATCTTGTACTTTTAATTTTCCCGCTGATTGTCACCTGACGCCAAGAACGACTGTATCTTTTTTCATATTAAGCCTGTTTCAACCAGCTTTCTCCTTTCACACAAACTACTTATGATCTGCACCCTCACTCACTCTATGCTCAGATGTCACAATTTATTCAATAGGAGTGCATCCTAGCTGAATCGATTTTTCTACTTTATATTCCTTGATACAAGGATTTCTGCTGGCGACCCGCTTTTTCGCTATACCATAGCGCCTTATTCCACTCCTTTGACAATGTCTTGCCCATGGAAAGTACATTTTATCGGCTCGCTTACGACTAGGAGGCCTACTCCGTTACCATGCTGTAACTACCTGTGAGCCAGTTACCATGATCAGCTCTTCATCATGATGATAATCTTGCGCCGCTTCTAACGTGTTCCACTCCGTATGCCGTTTTTCCCCTCGTATCCCCACCTGTATAATGACGTCATTTGAACATCCGGAAACCCAAAGTCCTCCATCCACTGTGTTCTTAGCTTCGTCTCCATAATGGGAGAATTTTATTTGCTCCGCAGTGGCAAAGAGTTTTTGCCCGGATTGGCCTCAAATTCACACCGTGTCTTCATGTGGCGCCTATATGCAATATCTGATCATAGCCTCTATTCTACATGTCTACATTATGCAGCACATCCATGTCCGGCTGCCTTCATTCTCCTGCTCTTCTCTTTAACTTCTCACATAAACTGCGTATGCATTCTTCCCATATAGCTATGCACCGTACAAGCGTTCGTGACATATTCGAAGCTTTGAGCATTAGGACTAGGAGGCTAAATCAAGTTATTTGAACTCTCATTCTGGCCTAAATTTCCAATGAGACCAACTGAACTCTGAAATCGGCAGGACAAGCCAACCCACTTATAAAGTCTTTAGAATTTGTCTCATTACCTGTCCTCAAATCATCGGTTTCCGTCATTAATATATAAACTTGCACCATTTAAGTGAAACGTGAATATTTGTTTTTTAAAATTTTAATATGAAATTGATTGCATTTCATATTCACTCGAAAACTTGCTTAACAAGTTGCATCCTGTGCTTATTTTATCATAAGGGTATTACTGATAAATTGGCTTCAATTTTTTATTGCCGCATCATAACTATACTTTAAATAAGTCATGACTTGAATGCTGCATTTACCCCGTAATCCTCTTTCACCTATGGCTGTGTAATAAAGTGGAAACTTCGCTACAATACTCACAAGCTGGTACGAATCCCGGCTAAGAATACTGAGAAGGCCTAGTCGAGGTCGAAACTTTGGTCCATCCTAGATGATATAGCCTTTTTGGAGGCACGGCTAAGTAAAATTCAAC